AACTCGAGTCTATCTTTTGACACTCTCTATCTTTCTCAATTGTGCAACACACACCGGCACCTAGTAGCGGATTCAAAAATATACTCCCTCCGTCCACAATTAAACTTTACATTGCGCGTTACGATGTTTGACTGAAGTTATTTTCAAATCATTTTATATGAAAAATAGTGTAGAATTGAAAAATAAAAATTACATATTAAAAAACTATATCAAAAGATCTACAAAACTAAAGGTGACATGACTATATTATTTTATCAAATGGGTGACGAAAATAAGCCAACAAAGTGAATAAAGTTTGACCATGTGAATAGTGAACGTAAAATTTATTTGTGGACGAAGGGAGTATATAATAGGTGACACTATGACACATTTGAGTAAATAGTAATATGAGGTTTCAAAATAGTGCCCTTAACTTTAAAATATAATTTACAGGAGTCGATGCCTTCCTTCCCTGTGACCATACCATTCCATGTATAATAAAAAACTAATTCGGGACATTCAAGCATAAAATGCGAAAAGATTAAAAAGAGAAGTATTTGTTTACTTTTCTTTTAAGGTAAATATTGTTATACGTGGTTTATAATCTTTTCTCTTTTTATGAAAAAAATTAACCACTCATTTTTTAAAAGTTTACTTTCTCTATACTAAACTGGATTATAATTTTTTTATTTACGAGGTAAAACCCAGTATTTTTAAATTTATATTATCTTAAAATTGTTATAAGAATTAATAAAATTTACATATTAACAAACTATGTTGAAAATTCTACAAAAATAAGAGATGACAACAATATTTTATTTTATCAAATAATCAATGAAAATACAAAAATAAAAGTTATCAAGAGATGAGCCCCAAAAAATTATACTCCTTCCGTCCTAAAACGTTCTTCTCGTTTCTTTTTTTAGATTTGAACGACTTTATTTTCAATTCAATTTATTTGATTGTAGGTGTAAAATTAACAAATAAAATTTATATATTTAAAAACTGTATAAAAAATTTTATAAAATAAACGATAACAAGACTATATTATTTTATTAAATAACTAACGAGAAAAAAAGATTAAAATTTGACTGCATGAATGATAACTGGAAAGGATGTTTTAGGACGGAAGAAATAATCATTATGGAATTTGAGACGCAAGAAGCATGTCTTAAATTTCATTAAATCAAATTATGTAAATAATTCGAGATAGGAAACATGTAAAGTGCAAAACAAGTTAGCATATTACAGCATCAAGTGATTAGTCTAATTAAAGCGAATAACGGAACTTGACACAGTTGTCGATATGTCCGAGTGGTTAAGGAGACAGACTTGAAATCTGTTGGGCTTTGCCCGCGCAGGTTCGATCCCTGCTGTCGACGTTTTTGTTTCATTTTTTCAGGCCTTTTTAATATATGGTTTTTTTTTCCATTGTTGGTATTACTTTTTTTTTGCCTTTCAATTATGAGGTTTTTTTTGTCTATAGGAGTTGGGTCATGCTAGTGTGCCTCCATATAATGAATTCATACTTCACACAGATAACACAAATGTTAATTATTTGTGCGAAACATGTGTACAGCAATAATAGTTTCCATGTCGTTGGTATTACTTTTTTTTTTGCCTTTCATTATGAGGTTTTTTTGTCTATAGGAGTTGGCTCATGCCAGGGTACCTCCATATAATGAATTCATACTTCACATAGATAACATAAATGGGTGATGCTAGGGTGCCTCCATATAATGAATTCTTACTTCACACAGATAACACAAATGGTAATTATTTGTGCGAAGCATGTGTGCATCAATAGTAGTTTCCATGTCGTGGTATCCTAGCATTTTGACAGTAGTTATGAGTACTAAGATCTTACCCATGGGTGATGTTGATGGTGTGAGCGGAATAGAAATGGTATGATCGACTTTAACACTACTAGTATCTCACTTCGTGTGTAGTATATTCAATAGTGAATCATCTAATTGTGTTACTATGGAAAATGGGAGACAATATGGAATAATGCAATTGTGTTAATATAAAAGAAGGTTAGAAATAGAGGTGGCAATCGGATCAACCGGATCGGTTTCAGGTTGAATTTTTTCGGTTCGGATATATTTCGGTTATATGTTATAATCAGTTCGGTTCGGATCGGATCAGTTAAATTTCGGTTCGGATTTGATTCGGTTCTAAATATTTTTCGGTTCGGTTCGGTTTCTAGTCGGTTCAGATACGGTTCGATTATAAATCGGTTCGGATAGATTTCGGTTCGGATACAATTTGAGTCGGATATATTTCGGTTTCGGGTCTAGTTTGGTTCGGATATATTTCAGTTTCGGATCAAATATATTTTGGATATATATTGTTTTCTAATTAAAATTTAACTATCCATGTGTTGTTTTTATGTTTTATCACATTTATCAATCTATCATCAAATCAATACCTCATATTATTTTAAATGTTTTTCTAATTTTACTATCTCTACCCTAAATAATCTTCCTTTTTTGACTTTTTAGTCATATTTTACAAACTTGGACTACAAATTATGAAAACATATATATTTAATTATGATATAAATTTAATATAATTACATTGATTTTAAAATTTAGTTTTGATATATCAAATTTTTCTCTCATGTACTAATATACTTATGTTTATAAATGATCAGATATAAGATAAATTCAAATAGTATTATGTTCCATTTGAATACAATTTGGAAAAAATTGAATAAAATTGAGTGAAATTAAGTGAATTTTATTCAATTGAGTGCAAAATTTACAAATTATTGAGTGTATTTAGTTGAAAATAGATAAAATTAAATTTAATAGAGTCAAATATAATTAATTTTACACCTAAATGTAATGGTGTAGATCAAATTTGAAAATGATATCACTAAATGTTGCTGCTAGAAAGTCTTTTCAAAATACTAACACTAGCATCTAATTTTATTAACTAATATTGAGTGAATTGGTTTGAAACTAATCAAATGAACTCTCAAATCAATAAAATGTATAGCAATGAGATGAAATTAGGATAAAATCTAGTTATTCTATACAATTCATCATATAATCCTTTCATCCCAAAAAGAATATCACAATTCACTATTTAAAAATTACGTAAATTTTATTTGTTTGTGCATTATCATTTATATGTAATTAGTACTTTTTTCAAGAAGATAATCCATTTTATGAGGGAATGAGCAAGTAATGTAATTAGTTCAAATGATAAAATAAAAGTAAAAATTTAAAAATATAATATGCTTATTGAAAGGCAAACGTAGTTCTGAATTTATCGATTTTAGTTCTAATCGGGTTCGGATCTAATCGGTTTCGGATCTAGTCAGTTTTTGGTTTTATCGGTTTCGGGTATTATCGGTTTCGGGTTTAATCGGTTCGGATATTATCGATTTCGGATCTAATCGGTTTCGGATTTAAATCGGATATGAATTATTTAGATCGGTTTCGGTTCGATTCGGATTATTTCGGGTTTTTGGTTATAGATCGGATCTTCATTTTTCGGGTCATTTCGGTTTTGGTTCCGGATATTTCGGTTCGGGTAATCGGTTCCTGTTCTGTTTTGCCAGGTCTAGTTAGAATCTAATCAAAGATTAGCCATGCATTATTTTGATTTTAAGGTAAAATTCAGATCACTATTGACATGTTCCATACATGCTATGGAAAAATACCTATGGTTCGTTCAACTTGATAACTCGCCCGTCTCTTGGAAAATGAAGAAGCAAACGACAGTTGCTCAGTCGTGTGCTGAAGCTAACTATCGGGCCCTTGCTGCTCTTACTTGTGAGTCGAAGTGGTTGAAGAATATTTTGCGCTGTCTAGGAGTCTTGCATGGACATCCTATGACCATTCATTGTGACAGCATAACGACACTTCATATTACCGCCAATCTAGTTTTTCACGAGTGTATGAAGCACATTGAGATTGATTTTCATTTTGTTCGAGATGAGCTTCTTCGTGGAGTGATTCGTACGCATCATGTTCCTACTACGTATCAGTTTGCAGATATTCACACTAAGGCATTGGGAAAACCTCGTCTAGAGTTTCTTATTCTCAAGTTGGGCATTTCACTTTTTGCATGCTCCAACTTGGGGGGTGTTAAAGAAGGAAGGAATATATTTCCATATATTCCCGTGTATATTATTTTGGTAGTTTTTCGTATATAATGATTTCTTTCCTTTTCCATATAGAGTCAAGTTTCTAACCTGTGGAATCCTATATATACGACCTTTGTTCGTGTTATAATCATCAAAGAATACAAGAGAAATTCTCTCAATCACAATTCTTTCGTAATAACTAAAAGCAAGAACGAAAGAGAACTATATATAGCCAACAAAAAGTAACAATACATGGCCTTTTTATAATTTCTAAAAATTTAAATGATATGGAGTCTTTTGTCCACATGGCAGAAATTTAATGGAGGGGTATGCATGCCCTCTCATTTGCTTGGGCATCCGAGAAACACCCAAATCAAAATATATGCCGTATTTTATTTCTACATGTGGTAAATAGTTTGCACTTTCTTTCTTCCACTCTACAAGTAACATCGCATTTCTTAGACATCTTTCGTATCTTAACGGAAAAGATAGCTCATACATTCTCTCTTCTTAACCAATACAGTGTAACAATCATAGCATATTTTAGTTTTTTAACATTTTTTACTTTGTAAGGTTATACTTTAAATTTTATTACATGCTAGACGAAGTAACAACAACCTACTAAAATACCATGAAAATAGGGTTTGGGGAGAGTGTGTTCATGCATACCTTACCCCACTCAAAAGTAGGGAGGCTACTTTCAAGGGATCGCAACTCGAGCAACACAGAAAACACGAAACACGACAAAGACGTAACAAGCAGACTATGGGTGAAAAAGTGCAAAGAGACAAAAACAACATACAAACCGCCGTTATTAGCAACTATACCGCGAGCATAAAAGTCACGCAACGGCAAATGCAAAAGCCACCACCAAAGCCCAAACGACTATCCAATTATCTTAGTCTTAGATCTCCAGATGTTCCTAGGACACAAATAGATGCCAATATAATAGTCAAAATGTTGCATTCTATATACAGCATATTATTCAATCTGCGCATACTAGTTTGGAACAAAGCCAGGAAGTACAAGATTAAAAGAGTTACACAATGAACATGGAATCTGAAGATCAGTCCGAATCATCAATCGTCGTCATTCTTCTGTAATGAAGTCCAGCGATGGGAGGGAGAGCTTAGGGATCTTAATGGCAGGAAAGGGCGATGCTTGTGGCGCTTCATCGCCTTGCCTCTTCTGTTTTCTTTCTTCTTCTTTTTCTTCTTCGTCTTCTCCTTGATGGGGTGCTTTAAGGCGGCGTCTGAGCACCCAGGAGACGAAACCACCGAATGATCGGAGCGGGTGGTTCAGGCCGTCTTTCAGTTTGAGGATCAGAGACACCTCTGAGACCTGCCATGTTAGGGTCAGCACCATTAGTGCTGACACCAGGCATTGTGTCACCATGTTCTGCCTCTGTACTTTCCTCAGCTCCTTCATCACTCTATCTTCTTTTTCTTCTTCTTCGTCTTTGCCTGTTTCGCAAGAACTCTCATTGCTTGTGTTTTCATGAGTTCTGGCAGTCACTTTTTCCCTTTGCACCATTGTTTTGTCATCAATTGACTCCTGTGAGATTCCTTGCATTAAGACCCAACTTTCAGTCTAAAAACAAAAATCATGTCACATTGACTTATCCTCCTCTGTGTAAATTTGAATCACAATTTCAGTTCAATGATCATGTCACATTGAATCTAATGAGGAACTTTATTTTGGGTTGGAAAGAGTACTAAATTATGGGATTATCAAAATCAAAGTAATTAGAGTTGTTAACTGGTAGGTTGAGTTAGTTTGTCAATTCATTTTTAGGTATCTTATATTACTAACTTTGTTCTTGATCCTTTTTTTACTCCCTCTGTCCCTAAATAAACTTCCCTTTTTGACTTTTTGAGAATTTAAATGAGTGATATTTTTGTGTTAACTTTCCAAAAATACCCTTGATGTGATGTGTAAAAGTAAGATGTAATATATAGATTATTGGTAAAAAGGTATGATGTGATAGGTAGGGTATGAAAAAGTAAGGGATAAAAGGAGTTTTTTTAAGGGAAAAGAGAAGTTTATTTGGGGACAAAGAAAAAATGAAAGGGGAAGTTTATTTAGGAAAATGAAAGGGGAAGTTTATTTAGGGACGGAGGGAGTATATTTTATGCCAATTCCATCCTATTTAATTTTTGCATCTCAATTTATTCAGTTTCAGCTAGTTTTACACTTTCTATTGAATGTAAATAATATAGAAGAATGGTTTTTTTTTCATTTCAAAAGTAATTTACTTTGAGATTTCCTACACTTTCACCTAAAAGTTTAGTTCTAATCCAATTTGTTAGCTTATAAACTTTCAATTGCGAATTCAATTTTCACGATTCGATTAAATTTAAATTGATTTTGCCAAACACAGCCTTGTTTATCCCAAAGAGTACCTTACCTCTGAGATTGTGCCTCGCCGGAGATCAGATCTCTGTTCATCGGCGGCGAAGGAGTTGGCATGGGATTCGGAAGCGTTTCCGGCGACGAATTCAAAGTCCTCCTTCGTAATCCTTTTGGCTTCCAAAGAGAACTCCACTTGCGATGATTCCATTGATTTTATGAAGGCCAGGAAGAAGAGAGAAGTGGAAATGGAATTGGGAATCGGTGATATCTATACAAACCGTCCCACGAATAATAGGCTATAACGAAGGAGACACGTGCTCCGCTTATACACATGCATGAAAGACCGTTCCGGTTTGGACCAGTGATTTTACAACCCAACCGAAATCGAATCAGACCACGCTGTAGGGCAATTGGAAGTAGGGGCGTTCAAAAATGTCCGATCCGAAATATTCGTCCATGATCCGGGTAGATCCGATCCAAAAAATGCATATCCGATCCAATATTTTAGTTTTTGGATATTCCGGATCGGATATGGATTCAAATTCTGGAATTTTTCGGATAATCAGATATCCGATTTTTTGGTTATATGTTTAATGAAATTTTATGGATATATATTATGGTTATATGTTTCATGCAATTTTATGTTGATTTTGGAACTCAAGCATTTTGGAATTTTTGCATCAGCATTTTGGAACTTTTTGCTTTTTTTGGTTTGTTTAGGCAAAATTACCAAAGTTACTCTCAAATTGTATTTGGTATAATGGTATCATTTTTTATTAGGCCAATACCTAGTGGTGGAATTTTATTTTTAGTAAATCTATATTGAATTTGATATTGTGGGTTGATTTTGCTATTTTACCTTTTTTTTTGTTGTGAATTTCGGCTGAAAAGTTAACTTTTCGGATAATCCAGTAATCCGATCCAAAAATTCAGATATCCTCGGATATCAAATGAGTTTTAAATGATCCAAAATTTTCGGATATCCATTTTTTCGGATCAGATCGATCCGATTTAACAGCCCTAATTGGAAGGAACTCGAGGGGTGCGGTCGGTTCCGGTTTTCATTTTAAACCACTTTTAATTTCTATTTTATTTTTTCAATATTTTCAATTACTTTTTCATACTCCATTTGTCGATAGGTTCCTTTTTTGTTTGACTTTTAAAAATCTCCAATTCAATTCTTGATCATTAATATATGTGTGTGTGTGTGTGTAATACTCCGTACTTAAAAACAAATCTATTAATATTAAATTTATATGACAATTCAATTTATTTATTATGAAACTTATGATCAAATTTTGAGAAATTGATCCAAGAAAATCAAAGTGGGATAAAAAAAAATTATGGACGGAGTGTACCTTTTTATTTTCATCTCTTTTATCTCCTTAGTTTTTAGCCTTTTAAGGCAGACGGAGTATATACTTCCTAACATACATTAGTTACTCATTCCATCTAATTTATAGCGTATGTTTCAGTTTACGATATTTAATTAAAATTATTTTTAATTTAATTTATTTAAAAATTGAAACGGAATTAAAAAATAGACATTACACATTTAAAAATCGCATCAAAAAATTTTCAAAACAAGAGATGACATAACTGTCTTATTGTATCAAACACTCGTAACAAAAAAACAAAAATAAAGTTAATAAAATTTGATCCGTGAATAGTGAATAGACATACACGATAATTTGGGACGGAGGGACTAGGGAGTATTTATTTTTTACATAGAAACACGTCTTTATACATAAAATAGATATTTACAAATAATAAAATTTACCAAACAGTTTAAAATAATTAACCAACACATATCCTCTAAACTTATATAGGTCATTCAAACTAGTCAATACAAACAACCACTGACTAATATTGCACCAATGCACTTTTTTTGGCCAAAAGGATCGAATAAAGCTGCAATAAGTAGGTTCGCGGGGGTACTCCAAATTTGCAACTACGCATACATGCAGCATGAGAAGCCGTTGCCTCGATTCCCGCCATTTCAAATGATTTTCGCTTCTTGTTCCCAAAACGTCCCTGTTTGGGTACATTCCGACACTCAAATACTTCATAAAAATTTGGGTTTTCCCCGTGCCCAAAACCCCGTCCTTGTGTCCGTTTCCATGCAGCTTAGGCTGCCACACTGGGAAGGTTGGCCTGCCAACAATGACAGATGAAGTTGAGATAATACTGATGGATGCTGTGAAACAGACTAGGCTTTGTTCTTTTCGGTTGGAAAAATTAACTTCCAACTTTTTCTAATTCCTTCCAGTTTCTTCCAAACAAGAACTAAGGGTTGGTGTGGTTTTGCTTATTACATTACCTTAGCTTGGCGGTATTTTTCAAGAATGCGAGAATACTGTTGACGTGCCTCTGGAGATTGAACCATGGAGAGAACTCTAGAGACTGCCTCCTCAATGGTCGCATCCACTTTCTGCTTGCGGAACACTTTGAGAATTTCGTCGCGGTCATCACTTTCGCACATCTCTAGATTGAATCCGCGAAGGCCAACTCCATGCCGGCACCACCTCAGTACTATCTTCTCCAGAACCCCAGTTGCCCAACTTACCCTGAATTCCTTTCTTGCCCGATAGCCACGTACATGTGCCTGCAAGGGGATTTATGTCCATCAGAGCAGCATTTAGGCAATTTCATTTGTTTATGAATGGATAGAAACTGGAAGCATGGAAGCCAGCATCAGCTGTGTTCCTTTGGCTTTAGTTTCTTGGAGATGCTAAACACTGGGGAAATCAACACTTTTGGTCATCCACTTGTGTGACATTATGTAATTTAGGACGTGTTTATTTTTCCTTTTAATTCAGGGCCCTTTTGTTTTCAGGTAAATAACTTGTGGAAAATGTTTTCATGGAAAATATGATGGTCTATGTATAGTATCAAGTTTGACCCACAAAATAGGAAATGTAAACCTGTTTCAGGAAAACAAAGCTACATTTTCAAGAAAAATCCGGAGCCAAAAACGGGAAAACATTTCTAGGGAAATTTTCGAAATGTTTTTATGTGCTAAAACATGGGAACATTAGAAAGCAATGTTGTGCAAAATGTTTACCAGTAAATAAATAGAGCTTACAGCCTAGTCCATCAATTGTTCCTGGCATTTTATAATGCCAAGAGTGACCCACAAATCTTCATACTAAATGGCAATTTTAATGGAAGGGACTAATTGTATCTCTCAGTTATATAAATAGAGAGACTAAAATTTACAATATCTGAAAGACAAGTTCCATATATTACATAATGTCAACAATTCAGAGCTTAAAAGTGTGACTTTCCAGGAAACAACAAATATTTCGTTGAAAGAATTAGAGTGCACCTGTATCTTTATCACTTTCTGACGGAATGCGAGGAAATCCTTCCGGCCTTTCCATCCTCGGTATTTTTTTTGAATGGTTAGAGCAGCTGAGGTGTAATCTCGAGGGGTAAGATAAGTTAGCTTGGTGGATGAAGCCGGAAAACCACTGATGCAGTTGGAGAGGGCAACAAACTCATCACCAGCAGCAGCAGCAGCAGCTTGTCTCTGCTGTCTCTTTCTGAAAGAATGTGCACGAAAGGCAGCTTGTATACGTGCAGCGGCTATAGTAGCATTCCTGGCTGCAGCTAGTGTATCCTTCATGGAAATCTGATCCTCATTTGTTGCGACATCAGTTTCATAGATACATCCAAAGGCTGTTTCTGCTTCCATTACCTGTGTATCTCCTTTTGATAGTTCGGTTTCTTCCAATTTAAGGGATGAAAGGTGACTGGTGAGTGCCATTTCTGAAAGATAACCGGCAAGTCCATTGTGGCCGTATGTAGCAGCAATTGCTGCAGGACTCTGACCAATAAGGTCTTCTTTAGTGGGATCAGTTACTGCTCCAGCTGAAGCACCATGTGCTATGAGTGCAGCAACCATATTTTCTCTGTTACAAACAGTAAATATGTACCCTATCAATTATTCATTCAAGCACTTTCTATCATTGATGGATTTTTCAGGAATTTCCGTCTCAGAACAGACCTAATGTTATCTTTTTCCTCCAATAAATCAGAACATAGTAAAATGAACAAGTTGCCCACCCATATACATACATAGAGGCATACAAACACACACGCAAACACATATGTCTGTGCATGCATGCCTCTGTGTGCGTATATCGCCTTAAACTAAGAGGGATACATAACAAAATTTATTATCGTCTTAAAAATTACTGTCTGTCCTTAAATTTTTTTCTTGTTTCTCTTTAAGGAAAGAATGTGTGGCATATATTCTTTCATTCATTTCTGAATAAACCACGACCACACAATTTCCTTTTCTTAATTTGTTAATTAGCATGCCAAGCTAACATGGGAAGTAAATTTTAGATGGAGGGAGTACTTTATATGTTTTCCTTAATGGGCTCATTTGAGGACATCATCAGTACTTTTCAAAAAAGCAAAGACCATTAATCACCTCCCGTAGCGTGCAGCCCAATGTAGAGCAGTCCAACCATTGATGTCACGGAAATCAACTGCTACTCCGGCATCTAAAATAGATCGTAATGCCCACTCAAATCCCAACCCAGAAACCATGTGTATAACCCCTTGTTCTTTTCTGGACAAGACACAATTTGAATCCAATGGGCTTGCTTTTCCTTGCAAAGTGGCAGCAAGCCACTGCTGCAGCTTGTCTTTCAAAAGTTCCTCAAGAAGCCAATCAATTGTGAGGTTTGATGACAAATCTCCCAACAAAAGACCCTCGATCACTTCATTCCATGAGTCTTCACTTTCTTTGGCTTTTTCTGAAAAATCATTTCCTGATTCGAGAATACCTACATTGCCCCTTGATTTATCAAACAGAAGCATCTTTGCGAACCTGACAAGCAACAATAATTCTTCAGTGCCCTTGTCAGCAGTACCAGTGTGCTTGACTCTGTACTCGAAATCCCTGACCTCACTGCACGATTCCTGATCACCCATGGTAATGCATAAAGTAACTTTACCGGGCAAATGTGGAGGAGCATCACAACAGAAGACACCATCTTGAATGATCTGGATAGGAACTTCAACGTCACCAAACATACACATCCATTGGGACACTGATGAATCACAATGAAAAGATCCCGTAACGATAACCTGCATTAGTAATTTTCAATTATTTCATCAAACACCATAGATCTGAGATTGAGCATCAAACAAAACACGTGATGCACCTTTGACAAGTTCAGAGATGAGTCTCACGACCATGACTTTAGTGACTAATTTAATCTTAAGTATCATGAAATATAATTGAGCCCTTAAAAATGAAAGGGTATCGTATAACATTTCAATCACCTTTTACTTATTTCTAAAAACATTATATTTATCAAAATATAGATTAATCCCTGTAAAGCAACTCCAAACATCTCCAAAACCATCCACCCAAATGCACCCTTAGAAACTTAACAACTACATATTGGAGCCTAAATCTCAAGTCAATGGGAGTGGCTACATAAATGGATAATCTGAAGAGATTATCCTCAAGCATCACCATCTTCCACTCTTTCCTGCTAAGTAAAATTACCTCCCCCGCCCGCTGCTCTCTTCTCCCCAAATGTATAGGATAAGAAGCGAGAGGTACTCTAACGCAACTAACCTATCAAAAGCATGGATGAGTAGATTGAAATGTAACAGGATAAACAGCAACCAAATACAAATGTGTTGAAGCAGTTACCTTCGTAGTCTCATCAGTGTACCCCCAGTCAGGACATAAACCTGAAATTCTAAATTTCTGCCTTTGAGGAATAGTTAAGCATGTGTTATCTTCAAAATGACTTGCAATCTGATTGTGTTCAAATGGTGTCCCAAATTGATCATGATTAATTGCACCAAAATTCAATGCTGTCTTGTATGTCAGATATCTGACATCTTCAACTTGTTGATGAATTCCTACTGAAATGTAATGTCAAAGCATTTTTTAGGCTTTCGAAACACATCGGGCTAGAATATATGAATATAAAATACCCAAGGTGCTTAAAGAGATCTTACAGTTCAGATGATCTTCTGGGCCAAAAGTTTGCCATGTAATGACTTCAGATGTTTCAAGTGGATCTCTTGCAAGCAGAGTGGTCTGTTTTGATGTAGATGGAGTATGCACAGGCAATAAAGTGAGTTTAAAAAACGGAAAGGTAAAATCAGAATTCTTAAATCCTAATCAACTAGGAAAAGCAGGAATTATCTTTTTCAAGTACCCATTCTACATATAAGATACTTCAAAAACAAAGAACTTTAATTTTATCAATTTTCTCGCACCATCTCATTGGCGGGGTTACATTCTGCAGCCGTAGAACTTCCATACGCATTTAAAATTTCTTTACATCCATTACCTTCATGCCCCATAAGTATATTATCAGTTACGTTACCTACAATAGAGGTGAATTAGCTGCAGGTTAACAATACAAGTGTTACCTATACAGATTACAGATTATCAGAGCTCTTTATATATTTAAACAAGGACATGGCAGATCATTCTTGTAAGCAGTGCAGCAACAGAATTAAGTGTTTAAAGACTAGTTCTTTTAAGAGATCTGCATTTCACTTTAAGATACAAGCACATGCAAATTTTGATATCTATTCAACAACAACAAAATTTGATGAATAAACCTAGGGGTACACCAAAATGGGGTACCCCATTTGCCTGGTGTACAAATGGGGTACCCCATTTTGGTGTACCCCTAGCATGGCCCAATTTTGATACAAGGGAAATATAGATATAAGATATGCAGAACGCCAGAACCTGAATGTCTATGCAGCTTACCAGTGTTTGAATCATCTTGTATCTCATTAAATGGCATATAATCATCTTGAATATTGTCAACACCAACTGAGCACGCTATAGAGTTGCAGGGGGGCTCAATGTCATTCAAGCTGTCACATTTCGTACTTAACTGCTCCTCAATCCTTCTCAATGCGTCACTTACTGCAAGCAACGATGAGTTACTATCCTCCTCCACTGTGTGACTTGACTGATTTATCCCGTAGCTGTTAGTGACAACAATGGGGGAATTCTCCATTGATCCAGAACTAGATTGTTGTTCACAAGATTCACGCATGGCTGAAGTAGAGCTTGTATTCTGAATGGAAAATGGACTAGGGCTCTGGTTGAAGGTAGAAGATGGAGAATGTCGTGGTACGAATTGGGCAGTATGTTTTCCCTGTGATTCACAAGTGATACAGATGGCATAAGCATGTCTACTCAAACTAACACTGAATAATGCTATATTATGGATTTCAACTGAAATTTAGGTGAGAATATGAATTGGTTTTTGTACACAGATGAATGAAATTTAGTAGCCAATGTCCTTAATGTGAAAAATAATAACACACAACATTTTGAAAGTTACGTATAAGAGATGTAATAGCCATAGGCACTGAAATATGCATAGTGTTCACCAAAACAGAAGGGAAAAAAAGAAAAAAAAACTTTAGTTGAGAGTATTTGACATGGGAGGGGCATTTGTTAATGAGACCTTCTGATGCTGTACATTGATTTCTTGTCAATTTGTCAAAAGTAGGTAAAAGATAACTACCTGACTTATATCTCTATAGTGAACCAAAGCAATGTGCTCATATGCCCTGTCCAAAGTCCCAAACACAAAGACAAAAAGTAGAACAAAATTCAGATGAAACTAGTTAAAAATAAGAATGAACTTGTATAGCCACCAAATTCATTTGAAAGTTCATAAAATTTTACAAAAAAAAAAAAATCTTTAAACAGCCTTATGTGTCCCTCGAAGATAATGTGCAAAATAGTAGATAAAAAATAAACTCACAGATTTAACATCCAATAGCTGCGCCTTTGAAATTTTGGATTCTGCTCTCCATGTGCATAATAACAATTGAGAGCTTCGACATTTCCTACCTAGCCAAAGAGAAGCGTCATATAAAGGCTTAAGGCTTTCCATGAAATGTGATGTATGAACAAAGATTTATTCAAATATTCGAAGATAAATGCATTTATTAAATAGACCATTCATACGAAGTGCCTACAATAAATAGAAGCTCATAGCCCCAAGTTTTACCTTGAGCCTTTCATGCCCTTCTCCCCCGGCTCTACCATCCTTTTTCCTTCGCCACCTATGACCATCTTTACGGAAAAATCTCACCACTCTCTTGTTATAAAGAAACAAAGACCCGCCTATCAATAGCAAAGGCATTATAATATGAGAAGATAAGGATCTGACATTAACATCCTTAATGCAAATATGCAATAAAGTATGATTATTAACCCAACATAACAGACTTGTGGACAAGAATGTTAAACTGAGTAGGAAAAAGTTCAGAACACTACTTGGAGGTTTTTGAGGCGGAACATGTGTGAACTGGAGGTTCTCATGATTCTGTAATATGAAGAGCACTTCAGCAGCTTTCAGCCACCTAGTTTTAGCTTCGCCAACCAAATGATCATAGTTATATCCTGAAAATGTGTATAAAATATTTGTAAGACAATCCTATGATGCATAGATTTAATAAAATTTTGAAGAAATAAACAACCTTTTCCAACTACACAACGCCAGAGACCATCAAATGTTTTACTCAATCCCAATGTTGAAATTAATCCCATACTGCTAGCTAATAAAATCATGTTTCCCAGAAACAAACCAATTGAGGCATCCCGTGTTGAAAAATAAAATCAAACTGGCTTCCATTTAACTATTTTTAGACCTAAATATCGATGAGTTACAGTAACAGTTTAGGCCGTTACAAAGTGGAAATGCTTTCTACAAAGTGAGACGAGTGTTTTGATGTATTATTTTCTAAAAATAGTTAACGGATGAATGAGAAATTAATGTTCAAAGTACACCATTGAAGTGTGTAATGAAGCAAGTGAAGCTTCCAAAAAGGTGGCAAAACCTAACTCATTAAATGCTATCTGCTGAAAACTTTGTGTCATGCTTTTATGGGAGAATAAAAGTGAGCTTTATGTCATGGTTCACGGGTGGCGGGAGTCTTGAAGCTTGCGCTCTGTAAACCCTATATAGATTAGTGATTCGGCATTTGCTAAGAAACATGGAGAAGAATCAAATGGCCGATTGTGATGAACTTAAGCGAATAGGTAAAATTAGAATGTACTCCTTAACTTATTACCTGATCCCGACATAATCCTGCGCGGCAAATTATCAATCGAGTGAAAGCTCTGTGATCATGTAATAATCATGTTCATCCAAATTGAGCTCGGAATCTGCGGACAATATCACAGGCGGCGGAGGTGAGGATCGGAGAGGGAACTGATAACGCTCCGGCGGCAGTTGAACGGAGATCCTCCGGCGGCGGGAATTGATGTCCGGATTTGGACGGGGAGAAACTGATGGGTTAGGAAAAAACGGATTACATAGGCTCAGTATATGTAGTAGGAATAATTGGAGTGGGATAGAGTGAAGAAGAAGAGAGCTTATCTTGGAGTTAAAAGAATGGCGCGTCTGCTGATCGACTCTTGAGAGTGGGGGTGGGTGTGAGTGATTCTTTCATTTTCCAAGCTATCCTAGCATTGCATTAGAGGAGGGGTGAATACAAATTAAATAAAATGTATTCGATTCGTGATTCGTATTTAAAAAAGATTATTTGTATTTGCTATATTTTAATTCGAATCCGAATACAAATCATATTTTTGATTCGAATTATTTTCGAATTCAAATACAAATATTAATAGATTCGATTTGTTTATTATTCGAATTATTCGAATATTATAATTTATAAATAAATTTAAATATATTCTAATATATTAAATATTTGTGTACATATTTTAACATATTAAATTTTTTTGTACATATAAATTTATATATATTCGAATATTATAATTTATAAATAAATTTGTACTCCCGGGTATATATACTAACATTTTTTTACTACATTTTACATTATTATAAAATAATAATTTAATGTCTTTAAGAAATCTGTTTTAAGAACAAAATTACTGATATTTTCGAATTCGAATATTCGAATACGAATTCAAATACGTCAAATATCTATAGAATCGAATATAAATGTTTTTTAAAATTCGAATTATATACGAATCTGAATTCGAACACATGTCACTTTAATCGAATACGAATCGAATAGTCATATATTTGCTTCGATTCGTATACACCCCTAATTAGAGCATTAACAATGGCAAGGCATACACTGGAATGCCACACGTTTACATAGCACTGTTGAGCCAATCAAAGTCAGTCTATATTTTAATCACCCGGTTTTACTTTATGTTCTACTCGATGCATTTAACTTTTGGTTTTTTTAAATTATAAATATTTTTACCTATTTTGTTTTAAAAATCTAAAGTATACTTGGTATAATTTAACTATTCAAAATTAGTTTAGTTTTCTATTTGAAATTAAAAATAGACTACAAATAATTTTTGCAAAGTGCAAAGTGAAGGACTTTTGCTGCTGATTTTCAACTCCGTATTTGAATATATAGAAATTTAAAATAGAATACAAATTAAAACTAGAGTAAAAATTAAAAATAGAGAACGCAAATTAAAGTAGTGGAAGAGTGCTTTTTTTTTACGGTGGAAGCAAATTAAAGGATTTGAAGAGTGCTCTTTCTTTGCCCCTTCTTGCCTCGCACTTGCCACGGAAATGAGAGTGACACGCCACTTGCCATGCAATCCAATTTTTACTTCGCCCATTGTGCTATTTTCCTCTCCATGAGTGGCAGTGCGTGGCAAGGTAAAACCTCACCACTGCCAATGCTCTTAATTCTTTCATTAATTTTACCGTTTGTTTATGTATTTTTTCTTTTTCTACTCCCTCCATTCCTAAAAAATTGCCACCGTTTAATTTTTTGGTTAATCTTTTTTTACTTCTTCTTGACCGTGAATTATGGGAAAAATTTAGTTATAATGTAAATTTAGTTTATTTTAAAATATAGTTTTAAAATATCAAATTTTTGTAATGTATAGATCTTTTAAGCTGCATTTAACTTGTGGTCAAAGAGTGTCACAGTTCGACTAAAAAGTTAAAATATAGCAATCTTTTAGAAACTGGTGGAGTATTATCGGTCCAAAAATGTGGAACCGCCCACTCCAAGCGCCCCTACCCCCTGGCCTAACAGGGATGGTGGAGGAGGTAAATCATGGTGGCTCAGTCGGCCAAGAACGATAGACCCGTGCCCATCACGCACGAGAAGCCTCCTCACCCTTTATGAGATTTTTGGATAGCTCCCACACTGCCGCTTGCAGGAATTGATCTCTGGTCATCGGTTCAAGATTTCACGTTCTCGACCAACTGATGGAGTATTATAAATACATATGATGATGAACTTCTCTTTTTCATACAATTTAGTCTACTTCAATTTATATTTTTAATTGAAATCAGTAGCCGAAAGTTTACCTTTCTTGGTTGTAAAAAATCAAAATTTAACAAAGGCTTCAGGCCCCGTTTGGTACACGGAATTCAAACTACGGAATTGGAATTGAAGACTTCAAATCTAATTTTGGTGTTTGGTAGCACAAAAATTGTGTGGATTTGGAATTCTTAGTGCAAAAAATTAATTGGAATTAGTGATTTCAATTCTATGGAATTGAATCTATAGAATTTTAATTCCAATTCCATCAATTCCGTATACCAAGCGGACCCTTAAGGTAGATTAGATATTTATTTAAAAAATTAGACTAATAAAAGTAAAATGTGAGAAGTGAAATCTTTTCTAAAAAGGGAAGAGCCCCATCCTCGAGGACTCTTCAGACTCGACTGGACGACACTGAGAAGTGAAATATTTTCTAATATCTACCTTCTAGCGGTGAGTATCATTAGAGCAATGGAAATGGGGCTGAAGCCCCCCCCCCCCCCCCCCCCCTGACGTCAACCG